CTCAGCTCAGCCTCCCAAGTGCTGGGATTACAGGCCTGCCGCCATGCACAGCTGATTTTATTTATTTATTTATTTATTTAGTGAGTTAATGTTTTTTTGAGACAGGGTTACACTATGCAGTTCAGTCTGGACTTGACCTCACTTTGTAGCCCAGGCTGGTCTCAAACTTGCAACAATCCTCCTGCCTCAGCCTCCCGAGTGCTGAGATTACAGGCATGTGCCACCAAGCCCGGCTTGGGAGACAGTTTCAAAATAAAACAACTCTTGAGGATCTTATGATATAGTTTAGTGGTAGATTAGTTCTGGGCATGAAGGAGGCTCTGAGTTCAATCCTCAGAAATAAAAAACAAAAACAAACAAAAAATAGTTAAATTTGGAGTCCGAAAGACACTAAATACAGAAGCCCTCCTCTCCAACTCATAAACACTCAAACCATCTCAACAAACAGCACCATACTTACCCAGACAGGAAGGTATCGCTAATAATGGATGGGAAAGGAGGCCTGATCTGTTAATCCCAGGACACATGCACAGAACAGCGCTCAAATCCCTGGACAAGGAAGTCTGTGATACCTGGAGCAGGGTTTGTTTGTTTGTTTGTTTGGTACCGGGAATCAAACTCAGGACCTTGCATTTGCCAGGCAGGCACTGTGCTGCTGAGCTATATTTGCAGCCTGAGCAGATTTTTGATAGGTTGGCCTGGAGCTGATGCCTGCATGGGAAATATAAAAGGACAGTCGCCATTAAGCATTTGCTGTCCTGCCTTTTGTTGTTTTTGTTTTTGAGAGAGAGGGTCTTACTGTATAGCCCAGGTTGGCTTCCAACTTTCGGTAATCCTCCTGCCTCTAGCTTTCAAGTACTGGAATTGCAAGTGTGCCCCCATGCCCAGCTCCATGCTCTCTTTTGTTTTGAGATAGGGTCTCATTATGCAGTTCAGGCTGGACTTGAGCTCACTTTGTAGCCTAGGCTGGTCTCGAACTTGTGATGATCCTCCTGCCTCAGCCTCCTGAGTGCTGGGATTACAGGCTTGTGCCACCGCAGCCGGCTGCTCTATGTGTTTTAAAGGATTCTTTTTACTGACCTGCATTCATCCAAAAGCCCAAAAGATGAATCAGGATAGATTTCAACAATGCTCTTTGGAGTGGTGGGGCAAAGGGTCCACGTCTGATTTAGTATTTGTGTTGTTGTTGTTGTTACCAGGAATTGAACCCAGAGCCTCATGCTTGCCAGGCAGGTGCTGTGTGGCTGAGCTACATCCCCTGGTCCCTTAGGTAGAGTTTTAAGCCTGTATCTGCTGCTCATCAGCTGCAAAACCATGGACAAGTGTAGCATACTTTGCCTCTCTGCTCAGCCTTTGGCAGGTGAGAATTATATCCCCTCTTCCACCGGTAGGAGAGCTGTGTTAAGTAAGAGTACACGTGAAGCCCTATGCACGGGACCTGGCACTAGACTCCCATTACTGGCAGACACTTAGGTGAGAGGAAGTGCTTCTCAGTAATTCCCGGTGTTATTTCACAGAGAATCGCCACCACCTGCAGTTAAAGCTAATCACAGGAAGAATTTTGAAAGCTATTTGTCTAGAAGTTAATTCAGTCTCCTGATCTCAGTGGGAATCACAACTGGAGAAGCAGCAACAGGTTTTTCAGGATATTTGTTTTCAGAAGGGCCAGCCCCTTTCATTGCCCTGGGCCCCTCTGCGTCTCCCCACACCCTCACCAGGGGCCCGACTTCCATCTAGCTTGCTGTAAAAGCTAAACTAGTGTTCAGGTGGAAATACTTGGAAGCAACCTCACCTCTACTCTTATTTCTTGTTCCCATGACAGTCATCATTCTCTCTGGCCACTTATTCCCTGGGAAGTTTCTCACGGCTCCAAGCAGGCATGATGCAGTGAGGATGAAGCCTTTACTCCCCACAGTGGCAAGGAAGCCTGATAAAAGGTAGGAGACCCACAGTGACAGCCTCTTTCTTCCTAGATAAGAAAGATTTGTCACTGGGCATGTGGCACACACCTGCAGTCTCAGTAGTCTGCAAAGCTGAGGCAGGAGGATCACAAGTTTGAGCCCAACTTGGATAAGTGACTTAGCAGTTGTTAAAAAAAAATGTTCAGATGTGGCTCAGGGCAAAGGCCTTATGTTCAATCCCTAGTCCCCACCCCCACAAAAAAAAAAAACCAACCCTGCCAAAATATTTGCATTTTTCAAAAGATCAATGTTAGTTATCACTAACTAACACTAGGATTAGATAACTGGCATCTTTAATGATGTCTGCATTTTCCTAACTGCCATACAAAGGCACATATATTATCTCTAATAATGGTGAGATTCATTGAAGTCTTATCTAATTACAGAAGCATTTTGTGTTCAATGCAGAAAACTAGAAAACATGAGGAAAAAGTCCCCTAAATCACCTCCCATAAAAACAGCAGCTGCTAACATTCTGGCATGTCTTTCCAGACTTTTCTCTATGCAGAGATGCCTCATTTTTGTGAACTGGAAAAAAGCAAACATTTAAGAGACAAAGCCTTGGTTCTTTTAGTCTTCGATTTTATTTCTGTTTTTAAACAGCAGCTAACAGCTTGGAAAATGCCTGACTAGCGAGGGCCTGCTCCATGCATTCCACAAAGTTCCCCCAGCCGGGCCAGGGCCAGGCTTGGAGCAGACCCCTCACCCACACCGACCAGCAGGCCTATTTGCTCTCTGGAGACTTGGGACAGAAGAAGGTGTCCAGTTAGCGCGGAGGGGCTGGGCTCAGACACAGCTGCCTTTGTTAGTCTCGGGTGTTTGGTAGCATGCTCGGACAGACTGTGGGAGGCTGGACAGGGGCTCCTGCACTCCTCTTCCCTCTATCCCAGGGCCAGCCCCTCATGTCCTTCCTCTGAGGAGCTCAGTGGTGCCCCTGCATGCCCTGGAAGGTCCAGCCAGCTTCATGAAAGCACCCTCCTACCACCTGGCCCAGCACACGAAGGTCAGGAATCAAGGTGGTAACAAGGATTCAGATCTGAGAATGTCCCACTGTCCCCTGCCACAGGGATTTGGAACCCGACTATGCCAACCCCTTACTAATTCTCACCTACAAGGGAATAATACAAGGACATCTCTGTGCCTCAGAGGGGCAAACCTGGTATTTAAGCCTCAATGTGGCAGGCATCTCTGAGCCCCCAGGCAGAGGTGGCTCAAGGCATGCACTAAAGCAGCAGGGGCAGCTCAGCTGGAGGGCAGGGGCCCACGGGCTGCATCTACTCTCCCCCCACTGCCATCCACACCCATGGTAGCCATGGAAACATAACCACCACCACGCTCTCCCGCCAGTTGCCTGGGTTCAAGCAACCAGGTCTGGCCCACCTTCTCCAAGCCAAGGCCTGAACTGAGGCCGGCCATGGAGTGGCTGCAGGAAGAACTGGGATTGGGCGATTTGGTGAGTCCAGATACCAGCACAGCTCGGGAGGGCTACCACAGGAGCCTCCACCACTTACTGCCTGGGCTGGGGTCGATGTGGCTTCGCCAGTCGGCACGGTAGCCTGCAGAACCAGCCCTGGCCTGGCTGCCCCTGCCTGCAGGCTAACAACTACTGTGGGGCAGGAGCCCTTGCTGCACAAACAGCAGCCTCTGGGCCTCATTGACAGGGCTCTCTGGCTGCTGCTCAGCCTGCCCACATGACTCAGCCAGGCCCCCAGGGCTGAGGATGTACCGATAGTCACTGGGGACGCCTCCCACCGCTCCCACCCCACTGCCATCCCCAGCTCCGCTGCCGGGTGGGTCACTGCAGGGCAGCTCCAGGTCACCACCTTCAGCAGGCGGCTCAGCCTTCTCGATGTTGATGTACAAGGGGTCCTGGCTGCTGGATAGCACGGACAGGTGACCCAGAATGGTCTCCAGTTCCATTCGCAGGCATGTGAAACTGGGGCGCTGCTTCGGGTCAGCGCTCCAGCACTGGTACATGAGATCGTACCTGGGGCAGAAAGAAGAGTAAGGAGCGGGAGTGGACTTTCCTTTAAAAGCAGAGGCCGAGCCAAGTGTGGTGGTACACAGTTGTAATCCCAGGACTGGAAGGCTGAGGCAGGAGAATCTCAAGTTCAAGTCCAGTCTGGGCAACTCAGTGAACTCAGTGATTTAACAAGCCTTTGTCTCAAAAAAAAAAAAAAAGAAAAAAAGAAAAAACAATAAAAAAGGCTGAAGATGTAGCTCAGTGCCAAGACCCTAGTATGTATCAGGCACTCCTCTAAGTATTTCTTACTTATTAAGTTATTTAATTCTTATAATATCTATGAAGTAAAGCAATCTCTAGCTAGGTTCAGTCATATATAACTATAATTCCAACTATATGGGAGGCTGAGGTAGGGAGATCATAAATTCAAGACTAACCTGGCAATTTAGAGACCTTGTCTCAAAATAAAAAATAAAAATGGCTAGAGATGCAGATCAGCAGCACAGCATTCCTAGGTTTAATCCCCAGCAACGAGAAAGAAGGAAAGAGGATGGGAAGCGGGGAGGGAGGAAGCCATACCTACTTTACAAATGTGGAAACTGACGCATAGAGAGGTTACTGAACCTTGACCCAAGTCACACAGGAAATAACAGGGCCATGATTTGAAGCCAGGTAGGCTGGCTCCAAAATTCCTCTTAAACTGTCTTGGGGTGGTACTAAGAAACTTTTTGTCTTGTAGAATACAGCCTAGAGTCAGACTTGGTTTGTTTTGCAGTCCTGAGGACTTAATTCAGGGACTTGGGCATGCTCAGAAAGCTTTCTACTCAGAGCTCCCCCAAGTCCTAGAGTTAGGCTTATTATTGTTCCAAATCCTCATGAGGCAGCACTCACATAGGTATTCTTTTTTTTTTTTTTGGTACTGGGAATTGAACTTAGGACCTTGTGCTTGCCAAGCAAGGCGCTGTGCGGCTGAGCTATATCCCCGGCACATCACATAGGTTTTTTTTTTTTTTTTTTTTTTTTTTTTTTTTTTGGTACCGGGAATTGAACTCAGGACCTTGTGCTTGCCAGGCAGGCACTTATGCCACTGAGCTATATCCCCGGCCCCCACATAGGTATTCTTAAATCCTCCCTCGCGGTCCACAGATACCTTTGAGAACCTGAGACAAGCTTCCAGTCTTCCCCTGGCAGAAATTCTTTTCTGCATACTATTTCAGGAGCCTTACAGGGTCTCTGAAGCCTATCCTTGTTCCCAAGGAATGACTCAGGAAAAAGAAAAAGAAAACAATCCAGAAAACCTAATGGGATGGCAGCACTTGGGAGGTTAAGGCTGGAGGCTTATGAGCTCAAGACTAGCCCGAGCTACACAGGAAATTCTAGGCCAACCTGGACTAAGTAGCAAAACCCATCTCAAAAACAACCACCACCAAACCAAACCAAATGCCCTAATGGGAAGGGGCTGAGACCAAGTATAATCAGAGTAACTGCTTGACTCTTGCCCACGGCAAAGTGCCACGCACTGCTTCTCACACCAGCCCTCTGAGGGCGCCCCCATGACAGGAAGAATCATGCCAGAACCTGGGCAGGCCGTAGGAATGGGCCAGGGGTATGTGGCCAGACTGGGACCCATTCTCAAGGCCGTGCTAGGAGCCAGCTGGCACCTGTGCACCAGGCTGCTTGGTGGGAGGCCAATGACCACCCCTCCTCATCAAGAGCAGCAACCCCAGCCTGTGAGGAAGCTGAGCCGGAGCCTCTGCTTTCCGCCTGCCCTTCAGAGCTTCAATAGCTCCAAACAAGGGAGGGCCAAGGCAGGCTGAGCCTCAGGGACACCTATTGGACAGGAGGGGCAGGCTGGCTTGTGCACTGATTTCCATCTCAGGCATCCATGAGGCACCCACTGCCCAGGCTCTGGTCACCTCAAACCCCCTGTCCTGGAGAAGGGTTTCCCTGGCTTGTTGTGGACTTTGCCCCTCTGGCATTAACAAGAGGTCCTCTGGGGGCCCAGGGAAACCCTGGCTTGGCTGGAGTCCAGGACTAACACAAGAACAGACCAACTGCAATTGGTTTCATGGTTGAAAGCACATACTCTAGAATCACAGGGATCTCAGTTCCAAGACCAACTCACTCGTGTAATAGCTGTGTGACCTTGGCCAAGTTACTTTACCTCTTTAATCCGATTTCCTCATCTACAAAATGAGGACAAAACAGTCTTTTCTGAATAGTGCAAGAAAAGGATTATCTGAAGGAATACCTTCAGTGCCCAGCTATCATTAGCGACACTTACATCACCTTGTTGTGGGGGTTTGACAACGTGCTACGGTGCGTGACCCACAACCCTGCCCTGTTCCCCAGGGCCTGGGTGGGCAACAAGGAAAGGAGGTAACAGTTACCTTCTTCCCAGAATGTTGGGTCCCTTCCACTCCCCCAAGACCAAGAAAGGAACTCAGCTCCCGCCCGTCACTTCACAAGAGTGAAGCAGCCGCCCTGGTTTCCCTATGCAGCCCTATCTCAAGCAGAGGGAGGTCTGCCAGGAGGTTTTCTTAGACCGGCTGGAGGGCCAAGGAGGAGGGAGACAGGAAACCTGCACTGTCGCTCGACTCTGTGGCTTTTGTCCAGGGGTTCCTGCTTCTCACTAGAAACTGGAGAAACTAGAATGATTTAAAAAGGCTTGAATGAGAAATATGGGATGGAAAACAGGTAGGTGGTAGATGAATAGGGCATGTAGGGAGGAAGCTGCCCAAGCCCCAGACTCCCACTTCCTCCCACAAAGCCCCTTCCAGTACTTACACGTCCTCCATGCACTCTGGAGGCTGTTTCAGGCGGTTCCCGCCAATGAGGTAGTTGTAAATCTCAGCGTTTTCAATGCCAGCATATGGCGTCTGCCCACGAGTCATGATCTCCCACATGGTGACCCCGAAGGCCCACTGGGACAGAATGGAGGTTGGGGGGCAAGATGTTACCAGGCTTCCTGAGCCAGGGCTCAGGGGTAAGGATCTCTTAGGGCTCAGGGACTGTAGAACTGGGTAGCCAAAGCCCAGAAAGCAGACCTGGCCAGGCCCTTGAGGGTCCCTAGAGCCACACACTAAATGTGGTCCCTAGATCCACACCACTGCACCATCTGCGCCACCCCACTCACCACGTCACTGTGCACAGTGTACAGGTTGTCCGCCAGGCTCTCCAGGGCCAGCCACTTGACAGGCAATTTGGAGGCACAGCCCTGACGATAGTAGTCCCCGCTATAGATTTTTCGGGATAGTCCAAAGTCAGCTACACACACTGTCATGTCTTCTGCCAGCCTGCGAAGGGGGTTAAAAGGCAGGGTCGGTCTTCCACTATGCTCCAGGGCTTTGCTCCCAGGCTATCCCCATGCACAGTAGTACTATTCCAGCCAGGAAGGGAGTATCAGCTAGCTCTTTCTGCCCCTAGCGGCCGCCGTCCCCTACCCCAGCCCTCCAGAATTCCTACATGCAGTTCCGAGCAGCCAGGTCCCGGTGGATGAAGTTCCGGGAGCTCAGGTACTCCATGCCACAGGCAATGTCCACCATGAACCGGATCAGAGTCTGGAGGGGCAGGTTCTGGTAGGCAGACAGGGCAAGCTCAGGCTAGACCTGCCCATTCAGCTGGGGCAGGACAAATGAGGTTCCCTGGCCAGACCTAAAGACTATCCTCAGAATTGCTGACAGGAAGGAAGCGGGGATGGCGGGCTTTCCAAGGCAAGGAAGCTCTGGTGAGTCAAGGAGAACCTGAGAACCAAGACTTCCTTGCTTGGGGCTCCACAAGCCTGTTCTCTCAGAAAGGGCCATTGGAGCCTAAAATTGCCCATAGGGCTTTGGGAGGGAAAAAGACATTAGCTTAAATGGAGTCAAGACGGACCATCTCCCTAGGTAGGGTCCAGATCCTCAGCTCGAGCCACCCAGCCCTTTCTCACCAGGATCTTCGTCCCTTCCCAGGCCCTCTTCTCCCACCTTCCCCTCCTGACCACTCCTACCCAGGCACTCACAAAGGGGTTCTCTCCAATCCGGGAGGCGAGCAGGAAGGCGTGCAGGTCCCCATGCTTCATGAAGGGCAGGATGACCATAGGGATGGGGAGGCGGCCTTTGGCCCTGCTGCGGAGGCTCACACCTGGGGACAAGGAAGGGTCAAGAGCTGGGCACACACAGGGCACAAGACAGCTCAGGTGTCTACATCAGTCCCCACATGCTGAGTCCCACCTCTAGCCCTGGCTCTGCCACTCTGTCCTGGAGACACCATAGGCCGGGTTCTGGCTGCTGCTGCTGCTAAGTCCCAGGCATCCTCCTTGTTCCCTCCTCCTCTGCCCACATAAGCAATCTTCAGACAGACCTTTGGTCTCACCTAGAGCTCAAGCAGATGCTGGCCAGAACCCTCCCTGCCATTTTACCCCCTGGTTAATGCAGTTAAGTCCAGTCTTCCCCACAGGCTGCCCACACATGGAAGGAAGAGACTTTTAGCCCTGTTCTTTGTCTGCCTGCTGCACAATGGGCTCACCAACAAGCTTGGCCACGTGTGGATGGTCAAACTCCTTCATGCAAGCTGCCTCCCTGAGGAACTCTTCTATGTCACTTGAGGAGATGATGTCAGCTGGGAGAAGTGGATGGGGTGGGGAGGGAATGAAATGAGACATGCCCTGAGCTCTGACCCAAAACCCCTAGGTCTGGAGCTTTGCAGGGGGCTCAGAAAACCTGCCTCACCATGAGCAGGAGGAACCCCATGGAATGCTCCTCCACAGCAATTCCCCTACTTGCGAATGCCCTCCTTCTGGTTTGGACAGCCCAGCCGCACAATCTACCCAGCCCCGCTATAAGTATCCAGGAGTGAGCCCAATGTCACTGCTGCCAGCAGAGAGCAGTACCAGGGGTCTGTGTCTGTGAACTACTCATGAGGGCAGACAGCACCCCATGAATACTCACTAGCTCTTCCCACAAAATCTCAGGCTGAGGCAGAGCCTGCAGAAAGACAGGTCCCACCAGGAACCTCTCTCCACTCACCTTTCAGCATCTTGACAGCCACTTTCACAAAGGAGCCATCCTCCTGTTTCAGCTGGGCCTCCCGCACTGAACCAAACTCTCCTAGAAACCGAGCCAACCAGGGCGTCTCCTTGGCTTTTAGCTTCCACTCCCTCCCCTCCTGGGTGATCCCCCACTAGGACACAAAGGCATCAGATCCTAGGACTGCCTGAACAGCCTCCTTGCCTCTCATCAAAGCAGAGCACTATAGGAATAGTTCCCAGCCCTCCTGGCCCCAGCCACCATTCCCCCAAGCAACCCTGACTCCAGAGCTTACGGGACATCTCGATTACGGGAGCTGACCAGCTGACCCAAATCCATAGCCTTAAGCGTCTGAATACTCAGAGCCACCCAAGGCAGGCAAACCGGTACCAGCCCTGCATAGCCCACACACCTTTGCCCAGCATCCGGCCCAGAGTAAACTGCTGCTCTGGGATGAGTACATCTTCTAGCTTGTCTTTCAGTTCGTCACTGATGCCCAGGCTGTCCACTGCGGGGAGGGGGTAAGAAAGGGGAGGAGTTCTGCTTCTGGCCAAACCCCAGCCTGCCTGCTCCACTGGGCCCTGGCCTTGGCCCGGAGCTCAGCTCTCCCACAAGGTAGGTCTCTGTGTCTTTTTCACTCCTCTGTACCTGGGACTTGGCATGGGTCAGACATTTTGGTCAAATTAACATATCAGTCAAATTAATGAACGGGTAAAAGAATACAGATAGGGGAAGAGAGGGCCCATTTTCCCCTCCCACAATCTTCCACCACTCACGTGTGGCCTCAATGCGCTCTGGTCTTTCTCTATTGAAGGACCTGGCTGCCCGGAAGTGAACGGCTGGCTCCCCACGGGCCATGACACTGTCAAAGGCTTGCCTAAAGGGAAATCGAAGACCTGGAGGACAGCTCCAAGGCCTTCTGTCACCACCTGCCTCCCCTCAAGTCCCACTCCCTTACCCAAAACGTGTCTCCTTCCGCCTCTTTCGAAGCAGGATGAGGGCCAAAGCAGCAGCCGTCACCAGAGCTGTGAGCACACCCAGGACGACAGGTACCCAGGATGTGGGGCTGTGGGGAGGGCCCTGCTGGCCTGTGGAAGGGAGGGGCAGTGGTACAAGCCAGGCTAACACCAAGGGGTCCCTTTAGAACTTTCCCACACAGCCACCTGGCCTAAGAAATTCCTTCAGTTAACATGGGTTCAAGGTTAAAGAGGCTTGAGAAAGGCTGGCATGCAGTGCACACCTGTAATCTCAGCTACTCCGGAGCCTGAGGCAGGAGGAGCTCAAATCTGGGGCCAGTCTGGGTAATTTAGCAAGATTTTGTCTAAAAATTATGTTAAAAATAATAACGACTGGGGATACACCTTAGCACTCCCTGGGTTTATCCCCCAGTACAAGAAAGGAAAAAAAGAAAAGAAAGGAAGAAAGAAAAGAGGGAGAGAGAGGAAAAGAAAGAGGGAAGGAAGGAAGGAAGGAGGAAAGAAGAAAGAAAGAGAAAAAGAAAGAGGGAAGGAAGAAGGAAAGAAGAAAGAAGGAAGGAAGGAAGGAAAGAGAAAGAAAGAAAGAAAGAAACAAAGAAACAAAAAGAAAGAAAGAAAGAAAGAAAGAAAGAAAGAAAGAAAGAAAGAAAGAAAGAAAGAAAAAGAAGGAAGGGAGGGAGGGCAGGAGAAAGGCTCCAGTGAGTGATCCAATAGTTTTCCTACCTAGACTGTGGCAGGCCCTGGTTGTTGTGACCTATGGAGTGATAGGGGATTTCTATGCCAGTTCTGGAACAAGGGGAGAAAAATGAGCTAAGAGTAACAATTCTGGTTTCAACTGCATGATTTTGAGTTTGGGAGCCTATTGGGCAGGTGCCACAGCCCCTTCTCACAGTTTAGGTTGCCCTCAAAAGCTCTGATCCCTTGCCCCACCCCCAGCCCCCACCTCACCTGCATGGTCGTAAGAAGAGACCACCAGTGGCTGACTCCAGGGTCCACAGCCAACTGCATTGGAGACGCACACACGCACGATCAGGTCCTTCTGGGGATCCCAGCCTGTCACATTGGCCCTAGTCCCCTCCACTGTCAGCTCATCCTGTAGCCAGGAAAGCCCCACCCCATACTGAGGCTGAGGAGGCCTCAGGCTGGGGCTGAGGACAGAATAAGGTCCAGCAAGGAACGTGGCAGCCTAGGGACCCTAGGAGTCAGGGACTGCGGAAATACAGCCTTCAGGGAATCATCACAGTCCTGGTTTCGGCAGAGCAGAGGCCTCTCTGGAACACAAACCAGGCTCAGTATGTGGGGGATGGGAGGAAGCTGGGCTGGGGATAAAGCCTCATGTGTGCCTGGCCCAGTTGGTGCAGGGATGTGCTTCCTGCTTTACATACTGAGTGGCCACAGAATGCAATCCCAGTGGGAAGCAGAATCCAAGGAGTGGGGTTAGCCAGGGAGGGGGAGAGGTGCATCCCTGGCGCAGTGGGGTCCCAGGTCTCCCAGAAACAGCCATTCAGAAGCTCCTAAGCTTCGTAAGGCTGGGGGGTGGGGTGGGGTGGGGGGCCTGAGGGCTGACGATGCTCTGGGATCTTAGAGCAAGTGCAGGAGTCTGTCTTGTCTTACCTGGGTTCCATTGTCTTGGAACAAGGAAAGTTTATAGGGCCCCAGGGGGCCTTCCCAAAGGCCCTCAGGAATCACTTCTTCCCACTCCAGGATGAGGCCTGAATCTGTGCGGATGGCATGGAGGTTCTTGGGAGCTCTGGCTGGGGCTGTATCCAGAGAGAGAAGGTTAAGACTTTTCTCTACCATCATGATCCTATGCAGACCTTCGGAACCAGCAGCCAAGCGCTGACCAGCTCAGAGAGCCCACAGGCGGGGGCTCACCTCTGGCTCTGACTGCTCTAACCACTGTGCTGGGGAGGAGCTGAAGCCACAGCAGCACCCCAGCCTGGCAGTGTTTTCATCACCATGGTGATGCCTCAGCTCCCTCACCGCGCCCCTCTCAGTCAAGCAGGCTCCTAGTGACAGAACTTGGAGCAAGTTCCTTAGTCTTGCACCTGCTCGGCTTTCTCCCTGTAGTGATTTCCCCCTAAATATTCACATGGTTTCTTCGTTAGCCTTCAGATCACTCAGGTCCCTTTAGGGAGGTTTTCTAGGGAACTCTTCATCACCACATTATCTTTCCCAGTTTGATTATCTATTATACTCACAAGAACTAAATACAAAGGGATGTGAAGTGGTATACAGCAGATACTCAATAAGTGCTGCCTGAATAATGCCTGAACTGTCCCTCAGGTAGTTCCTTCAGACCTAGAGCCATCCTTGCCTCCAGCCAAGCCCAGCCCCTCTGTTGTGGGAGTCACTCACCTAGACCCTTTGTCTGAAAGGGCACCCAGTCAGCATAGGGAGAAGGCCCCAAGGCATTGGCACAGCGCACCCTGAGGCTGTAGTTGGTAGCAGGTGTCAAGTCCCGAAGCAGGCAGGTGAAGGGTGGCACTGGGACCACGACAGCCAGGACCTCCCAGTCTCCTGGGGTCTGTGTCACCTACAGAAGAGCAGAATACTAAAGCTGTAGAGGATGGCTGTTTCCACACTGAGAGGGAAGATGAGGATAGGTACAGTATGTAGTCCAGGCTGGCCTCTTCACTCACAGCAGTTCTCCTGTCTTAGGCTCTGGTGTGCCGGGATTACAGGCACACGCCACTGTGCCCGCTTGGTGAGTCTGAACGAATGCTTCCCCCACCCCAATAATCCAAAAGTTTCTACACCTCCACTCCACAGATGTTGTTCCTTTTGCTTGGTATGAGCTGTTCTTCCTAGCATCTCCCTATTCATCCTTTAAGACTTTGTGCAAATTCCTTCCTTTTTTTCTCTCTCCCTTTTCTTTTTTTTTTTTGTTATGTTTTGTTTTTGGTACAGGGACTCGAACTCAGGACCTTGCATTTGCCAGGCAGGCACTTGTACCGCTGAGCTATATCCCTGGCTTCTTTGCTTTTCTTGCTTTTTTTTTCAGTCCTAGAGACTGAGCACAGGGCCTTGACACTGAGCTACATACACAACCCTTTTTATTTTTTAAGATGGGATCTCCCTAAGTCACTAAATTGCCGAAGGTAGGTTGGAACCTGCAATCCTCCTGCTCCAGCCTCCCAGAGTGCTGGGATTACAGGAGTGTACCACCACACCCAGGTATAAATATTCTTTTATTGTTGAAAGCCTTTATCGACTCCAGGAAACTCTTACCACTTTGTACTTTGTGCTTAAAGTACTTTGTTTCAAAGTACTTGCCATCTGTACTTGTTTATGCCATCCCAAAGTCCCAGAGCTTCTCAAAGGCAGGGTAAACCGTGAGCCCATGGCACTGTGAACCAGCCCCTAACCTCGTTTTGGAGGTCCAACATCAGAGTACAGAGATCCATGAACCACGTGGCTAAATATTTTAACATTATAAATCCGCTAACATTTTTTTTTGCACCGGTGGAACTCAAACCCAGAGCCTCGCACATGCTAAACATATGCACTTTATCTTTGAGCTACACCCTAGTCCTTACTTAACAAATGACTAAAAAGTTTCTGTCTTGTACCTTGACAAACAAACCTTCAAAATCACCTAGAAGTTCAGATTTACACTTACAATTCTCCAAATGCTTGGGGGTCCCAAGTCAGTGTGGTGGCACTGGAAGAGCTGGCCCCTGGGCAAGGGTCTATACCAGGAGGGGCTCAGGTGTAGACAACACTCCTTGCACACTCAGGCTCAGTTCTCATCTGCTCACAGACAGCTGCCTCTGGGGCCTAAAGGTCACACACCACGACACGCTCTGCTCTGGGGAGATGGACTGGGACAGAGACTACAAAGGCCCTGCAGTCAGGCCCAGGACGTCAAGAGTATGGCGTGGCAATAAGGACAACCCAGACAGACCTGTGCCCTTGGCCCTGGAGATTCTGTCCAGGAGCAAGGATTGTGCCAAAGCTGGGCCAGTACAGGGTCCTCTAAATGGTACATTGCAAAGCAGGAACCCCTGCTGCCCAGGGGAACTCTGAGAACAGTTTTGAACGCTTCTCACAAAACTCCTTTTGAGCAGAAAAGAAAACAAGCAAGGCTGCCTCTTGGTTGTGGTGCCACCTTATCTCCCTTTCCACTCTTTAGGGCTTAGACTTCTCGTCCTCTGTGGCACAGCGGGGGTGGGGGCACAAAGATGCAAGAGTCCAGATTACCAGATGCATCAAAGGATTCGCTCACATAAACAAAACAAAACAAAACAAAACAAAAAACTCTTCTGGATCTGGCTGGCAGAGTAGCTTAGCGCTAGAGTGCTTGCTTACCAGGTCTAAAGCCCTGGGTTTAATCCCCCAACATCAGACAGCTGCCTCTGGGGCCTAAAGGTCACACACCACGACACACTCTGCTCTGGGGAGATGGACTGGGACAGAGACTACAAAGGCAGACAAGACACATCAGACAAGACACAGACACACACAGGCACATATCTCTTCCAGGTATCCCAAAGCTGCCCTAGTGATTTGTTTTCCAACCTGCAGAAGGCACAGGCTTGAGCCAATCTGCAGGGTCTCTCAGTGGACAGAGCACCCCATGCTAAGTAAGGAGAAGCACCTGAAGAGTCCTGCGGAACATGTCCCACAGGCAGTAAGCCCGCGGCCACTACCAATAAGCCCCAGCTATGCAGCTACAAGGAGCACAGGTAGTCCGGGAGGGCCTGTTGGGCCCCTCTCAGCCTACCTGCACTGTACAGGATTGAAGCACGGCTTGACCATCAGCACCTGGCACCCAGGCCACGCTGGCATTGCTGCTGGAGAGCTTTGTCACTGTGATGTTGAAGGGGGCTGCAGGCAGAGCTATGGATAGGAACTTGGAGTCAGTGCCCAGCAATAAGAGCAGAGGGAAGAGGAGGCAGGGGAATCAAGCTTCACGTCCTTCCTAGGGCCAGAAACCTCCCCCCAACCTAAAGATGGCTACTCGTCACTCCGCTCACAGGGATACACCAGGCAAGCTACCGGTAAAGGACAGCTGCTCACACCTGGGAGTGCCAAGGCTGAGGAAAGACAATGCCTCTGTCTGAATAAGGGGCTCTGGCCAAAGAATAGGAAGGTAACATGTGGGGACACAGTACAGCACAAAAGGAGAAATACAAAACATGAAAGGAGAAATAAGCAGCTGCCCCTGCAGCCAGGATGAGTTCCTCCACACACTGGCTCCCTCCCTTCGTCCCTCCCTCCCTCCCTCCCCCCTCCGTCCACACCAGCCCTTTGGGTCTCTTATCACCGCCAGGCTGCTTCCCTACCCGCTCCCCCAGGAGTGGCAGAAACAAGATTAAGCAGAAGCCTTGACCATCTCCTGCTGGCTCCTTCTTCCCCTCCCTCCCAAGGACTCTGCTTCGTGATGGGAAATCTGCTGTGACGTCAGGATTCTATTCTTGGCTCAGCCATGGCAGGGTCTCAGGTGCTCTCGCTAGGAACGGGAGCTGTGCCAATTACCCCTCATCTGGAGGTCCCCACAGGACCCAGGGAAGCTGCAATGCCAAGTGATCTCACTGCTGCATGGCTGGCTGGCTGAAAATGCCCCTGGCCTCACCTACCCATCCCTGACTGTCCTCCTACCTTGAAGGCGAACAGTGGCTGGGCGAGAAATAGCCAGGCCTTTTCTGTTGCGAGCTTCACAGGAAAACATTGTGCTCTGGGTCACCCCTGAGGCCAGAAAACTTCAGTTAGTCCCCAAAACAGCAACTCCCTCTCAATGTGGGGCTGGAGAAGAGGGACACACAGGCTTTGGTCTGAACATCCTAGAAATCCCTCCGACAAAAGGAAGGGGCTGGACAGTGGCGCACAGTGGAGGGGGAACAAGGACTCTGGAGTCTGATGAGCTTAAATGGCACTCTGTTTGCTCATCTCTCAAATGGGAGAACTGTGAAAATCAGGTAATTTATGTAAAATGCACGGCACAGAATAAACACTTGAAAAATATTACATGGTGCCTCCCATCTCAGTCCCATCCCCCAGGGACAGCACAGCACTGCCTCCCTTTCCTGGTCACTCCCCCGCATACCAAAGCCCTTTTGTTTGCTCTCTGCCCTGTCACTGTGTCGTATCTGCATATTCCGTGCCTTGCAACAGTTCCCAGTTCCTTATGCATGTGTCCTGTCTCCCTGGTTATATTCAATTCTTTGGGGGCAGGAAGACAGATTTCTATTTCCTTTGTGTTGGCTCATCCCCCGTGGTGCCCAGCACAGTGTGGTGTTCACAGGAGGAATTCCACAAAGTGCTTATTACCAGGCTGGCTGGATGAGGGTCCTAACCACGCACATCTAGAGGGAAAGGAACCCAACCTCTTCTTAAACACTGCCCCCCAAGTCCAGCGGGTTCTGTGGTCTACCCCTTCTGATGGGGACTCGACAAATCAGAGCCCCTTTCCCCCACCTCTCAGAGCATGAGACCAAACTCAAGACTCTCATCTTTTTGCCCAATTCAAGCCTCAATCTGTAAACTTTGTTTTATGCCTGAAGATCTTAGGGGCCCAGATGGGTGTGCAGGCATGGCTGCTTTGGGTCTAACTGTGCAGAGAGGTAGGAACAGATAGCTGTACAGGAAAATGGATGGAGAACAAGGAAGAGACCACAAGAGGAGGCCCCTGCATCGTCATTGCTGGCCTCTCTCTCTCCTCCTCTCCCTGTCTTTAGCCTGAGAGTCTTGTCTTTTCCATGCCTGCCAGACACTCCTTCCCGGCTCTGCGTGGGCTGGTTTCTGGCCCCTTCTCTTGGGAGGGAGTGGGGGAGGAGGACGGGTGGCCCTGGTCTCGCACAATTCATCTCCCAGGGCCAGCTGTGCTTGGCACAGACTGCTGAGTGAGGCCAGGTGGTCCCAGCACCCTCCTCGTGCTAGCGCACACAGCCGGAAGGCCACTAATCAGCCCACCCAGCCAGTGTGACACACCTGACTAATGAGCACAGCGATGGTGCGGCTCACGCACCCAGGCTCTGGGATCTGCTCTGGTCACTCACAACTGCAGACTCCATGATTTAGGCAGATTCCATCTCTGCCGGTCTTACCACAGGCAAGGAGCCCGCCCACTCTCTGCTCAAAGCCCCCTCCTGTGCTGCTCACCTGTTACATTCAAAACTGAGGGAGAGAGAGCAGGTCCCCCAACCATCGTTCTTCCTCTCCACCAGAAAATGGTAACAGGTTCCGGGGGACCCACGGCCTCACAAGAGAGTTGGAAAGGGGCATTAGGGGGCACTGCCAGATCTTTGGGCTCCACAGTGAAAAATGGCACACCTAAAAAAGAAGGGGAGCTGGGAATGAACTTTGCCACTTCTTAGCTTCCTACTGCCCCAATCACAAGTTTGCTTCACTCGAAGTCTTCTCTTCGGGTCCCCACAGCCCCTTCGGGTACTGAGCTTGGGAAGGAGCGGGCGGCAGGGGAGTCGACTTCTCATCAGCTCCCTTAGGAATATATTTACTGCTGCCCTCATAAGGGCAGGGCAGACTTGGCTTGCCAGCCCCAGCACTCCCTGCCAGACCTGCTCTGACAGCCCTTCTCAGGGTAAGGGAGGAGGCTGGGGGTGGGGAGCTGGGGGAGGGGCACACAGGGAGGAGGAGTGAGTGGGAGCTTTCGCAGAGTTCTGCTGGCAGGCCCCAGCTCCTGTTCTTCCCTTTGTTACTTTCTTAGTCACTTTGTTTTCCGGGGCTGAACAGCTCTGAGCTCCTGCAGCTGCGCAGCCTTCCTCGCCTCCCCCTCCCCCTGCCGGTCAGACCACTCGGCAGAACAGGGTCCAGCCCCAGATGGGTGCTCGAGGCTTGTTGCTCAGACAGCTGAAACAGACAGCAAACCCGTAACCTGTGGGTCCCAGGGTGGCCCCTCGGTTCTCAGATATCCAGACTTTAGCAGGTAGGGTATTCTGATGTCTGGGGCAGCACAGCATCCTCTCCACCTTCCTCTGCCGGCTATGGTCACTAAGAGACAGCACCTGCACCTGCTCCGGGCCAACACGCCCTGCACCTTTGCCTCCTCACCTTCAACGGTGAGCCACACTGACTGGGAGATCTCGGTTTTTCCCCCATCCTCCATCTGGCACCAGTACTGGCCCGCATCAGAACGCTCCACTGACTTCAGGCTGTGGAAACAGAATACCAAGCTTGCTTCCTAGGGTCAAGAGGGGCAGTTCTGCTGGGCAAACTTGATGGGTTCAGCCCATCCTGCTTCTGGAAGATTCTACAGGTTGCCAAATTTAAAAACCACAGATCTCTGGGTATACACACAGCCCCCAGCTCCCAAGCCCTAAATGAGAAGCCTAGCCTGCCCCAGGCCGGCACCCCACACCTTCCCCTAGTCTGGCACCTGAGGAAGCAAATCCAGTGCCTCTCGCTGATGGAGATGTACACCTGGCTCCCGGTCCGGACCACAGCCCCATCCTTCATCCAGTGTATGTCAGGCTCCTCCAGCCCCTCCTTGCTGCAGTTGAGCGTCATTGACTGCCCCTGAGACAATGTCATCTTCGCTGGGGCTCCCATGAGTTTCAAGCCTGAGGGGTGGCAAGGAGAGTGCATCAGCTTGCTACAGGTGGACCCTGTCTTTGGAAGTATCTCCTGTTCTCTTCCAGGAGGTGGCTTCTGTGCTAGAGGGCTGCTTGCCAATGTCAAGGAACAGAGGGAGGACAGCCTGGGAGGGAAGGAGACCTGAGCGGGGGGATGAGGCATGACAAGCTCCTCTGCAAGTACCCTTTCTGTCACTGCCAGGCCCCCCTAGCTCGGAGGACCACGTTCATATAGCTCCCTGTGCCCAACCTCCGAAAGGAAGGCAAGCTGAACTGAAAGGGAGGGGTGTTGTCACGTCCTGGGGCAGGCACTGCCCTGGGAATGACTGCTGCACGCAACCAGTGCAACAGGCTGCCAGCCCTCTGCCCACGGGTCAGCCCAGCCCCTGAACTGCTGCCAGCACCCTCTACACCCTACCCTGCTAAACGGAGGGGGCTGACAAAAGGAAGGAGGGGGTGCTCTCCTGAAGTGGAGAACATATGGATGCAGAACCACGTCAGATCAAACACATGGCAGCCTTCCTGGCAGCCGCCTTGCTCTATTAATACCTGAATGTGTGCAGGGGCGGTGCTAGGAAGGTGGGAAGCAGAGGGAGGGTGGGGCCATGAGCAGCAGCCCAGGACCCCAGCAGCACTGTCACATCAGCAGGGCCACCCACTGGAACCTTACCCTACACACACCTGGCCTGGCCTCCTGGCATGTTTATAAGCAGCCGAGCAGGTAAGATATCTGCATAGCTGAAATCCAGTCCTGCTTCTTCCTGCTTTTTACTGTGTGACTTCAGGGAAATTACGGGCTCTCTGAGCGTTAGACACACACCCGTCCGTCCACCTGTAAATATTTGTCACCCTTTTCTACTTCCCTCCCTGAGACTCTGCTATGTCTCAAGACAAGGGGCCAACCTTTGGCTGCTGCGCTGGTCGGTGTCTCCACCTGAACTCCATTCACCCTCTCAGAATCAGCCCCAGGACAAACAGGAATCGCTCCATACCCCAGAGACACCCAGGGTCCCAAAGGTGTGCGGTATGAATTTGAAAAGGTGCTACAGGCACGCTCCTGCCTCGGGCCAATGCTTCGGAGGCCAGGTGGGAACACAGGGCTGAGCCCCAGGAAGACCAGCAGCCTCGAGCCTGCCCCAGCTCTCCAACACGCCAGTTTTCAGGAAGCTCTCCGGGCACAGGAAGAGAGTATGCTCAGATGTGTGTTGGGGCAGAGTTTCCTCCGAATTCCTGTGTCTAAACGGTAGAAGGGTACCCCTGGGCGTTCATCTCCGACTCTGGCTTCAACGTGGGACCTTCCTGTGTGCGGCGGGCAAAATGGGGTCCCCAGGACTGAGTGAGAGGGGGCAGCGAACAACTTGGAGCATGGAGGCGGGAAATGCAGTCCCAAGCACCCCCACTCCATCCCGAGCGCGCGCGGACCACACAGCCCACACCCCTCTACCTTCGCTTCCACCCCGCCCGGGGAGCCCCGGGCGTGAGAAAGTTGGGGGCGGGGGCCCGGCCCGAGCCCGCAGCCAGCACCGCGCGCCCCGCGCTTCGGCCTTTCGCGTCCCACCCGCACGTCTCGCGCTCAGGCCCGGACTCAGCAGCAGCCGCCGGCCGGGGCTCCGACCC